ACTGACATCAAATATAGTGAAAGCAGGGGTTATACTGTGGGGGAGGGACATACAAAGCAACAAAGAGATAATCTTATAAATGCGTTAGAAACACATGTATGAAAGAAAAAACATTAAAATACATATCTAAGGGTTCATTTTCCTGACATCACATTATCTGACCTTTAGTTTCACCTTATTTTTATTTTAAGAGAAATACAATAAAAACTGTATAAAGAGAACTACAAATTCTTTTTTTTAGATTGCTTTGCTTACCAATCTGTTGAGTTTAAGCCATTTCTTTTCTTCCCTTTAAAGCAAACATTATGAATTACAAAACCTTTGTTTAAATCTATTCTTATCCAACTTTGCTTTCAATAATTTATCACACTGACTTCAAGGTTTACAACTGCCAAAGTCTTTACTAATCCAATAGCAGGTTGTCAGTATTTGTCTTACTTTATCTGTCTCATTGTTTTTCTGAGCCTGGCTTATTTCACTAAACGTGATGATCTCTAGTTCAATTTATTTTACTGAAAATGACATAATTTTATTCTTTATGGCTGAATCCTAGAGAACATGAGGCTGTAGTTCCAACCCCATGACTTCCAAAAATATGAATTAATAAAAATAATCCATTGTGTTTATGTACCACATTTTCTTTTTTTCCATTGGATGTTGATTACCTAGGTTTTTATTTCCTTGTTTAGGTTTATTTCTAGGTGTTTTATTTATTTATTATTATTATTTATTTTATTCTCTAGCAGTGTCCTGTGCTTTCTAGGAAAGAATTCCAACATGTTTTAGTTTGCTTTTCTGGACTCTTTTGCTTTTTTTCAGGGTTGGCCTTAAACTATGATCATCCTATCTCCTGAATAGCTGGGATTAGGGAGGTGGCTGACCAGACCTCGCTTGTTTTTGTGATAGGGTATTAGTAAATTCTTACCTGGATTAGCCTTTAACTGTGATTCTCCTACCTTTGCCTCTTGAATAGCTGAACTGAAGGTATGCATTACTATGCCTCACCTGTTCACAGATATTTTTTTTGAAGCTACCTGAAATGGAATTGTTTTCTTGTGTTCTTTCTCAGCCTATTCATTATTGACATATAGAAAAGCAATTTTTTTGTATGCAGATTTTTATGTCTTTTTTTGTCTGCTGAAAGTGTTCATCATGTCTAAGAGTTTTTATCTGAAAGCAAGAGTTGCTTGCTTGACTTTTCTCTTTCCTATCTGTATCCTTTTTATTTTATTCTCTTGCCTTATTGCTCTGGCAAAGATTCAAATACTTTATTTCTCTTTTATGAACACTGTATTTTGTTTTTACTCATGGTCAATTTTCATAAATGTTCTCCCTGCCTTTAAAAATGATGCATAATAGCTTTTGGATATAGGGTTCTATGGATATCAAACTTGTTAAACATCTTATTCCAATTTTACATTTTAGTGTAGATTATGTATGTGCTTTATTCTGTTCATTCTTATTTGATATTTATATTGTATATCTTCTTTTGAGAAATATCTATTCAAATAATTTGTCCATGTAAAATTGTGATTATTAATTTTTGCTGTTGAGATTTTTGATTTATTATTGTATTCTGGATGTTAATCTCTTGATTGGATGAATAGTTTGCAAATATTCTCTACTATTTTGTAG